GACTCCTACAATAGTTCTTTATTTTATTTTGTCTTCACTTGGTATAGATAAAACTACTGATGCTCCCATTAGTTTGTTTCTTTACCTAAAGGAGCCAAGAATCCAACCCAAGAAAAACAGATGACTAAAGGGAGCATTGGTGGTCTAGTGGTAAAGAGTTGTGCTGTCAATCCAAAGGCACACAGTTCAAATCCACTAGCTGCTCCATGGGAAAAAGATGGGAAATTTCCTTCCATGTGGTTTATGGTCTCTAAAAAACCTATTCAAGAGTCAGCTATGAGTTGATTCTGTCTTGATGATAATAATCTGTGTTAGAGTTTACTTCTGAAGCGAATAAATATGAATAGAATAGTTTTAAAAATCATTTCTGTCAAGTAGATTACAATTCACATCAACACTCCATTATTCTGTCAATGCTACAAATCATTATAAAATTCATAAGAAAGACTGTCCATCTTTTTCCTGTAGAGTGGCTGTAAACCAAGTGTACTGGCTTTGTGTTTAGCAGCCCACTATGTTATGCACAACAACACTAGGACATCTTGAGTACTTCTGAGTATCTCCAGTTGAAAGTTACCTATGGTATCCAGTGATACTCACAAGGAAAAAAAAATTCTTTTTTGCCTTTATTAAGTTAAACTCTAAACTAGAAAGTAAAAATAAAAACTTACAGAATGATTACCAGGACAAACTTTAAGATGCAAAATAGTGTTTTAGATGTGTTAATGGTATAAAAAGTTTCTTTTACTAATTTTAGTTTAGTATGATCTATCATAAACACAGGGAGCACTGGTGGCCTAGTAGCAATAAGCTGTGCTGCAATCCCGAAGGTGCATGGTTCGGATCCACAAGCTGCTCCACTGGAGAAAGATAGGCAGTCTCCTCCCTTGCAATTAACTGTGTTTAAAAACCCAGTGGAAGTCAACTACAGGTTGGTTCGTATTCGACAATAGAAAACAATAACATCATAGACGTCGATGTGACTCTCAATGACACATAATAACAACCATTGAGATGTCAGAAACTCATGGTAACCATATGTACAGTACACTCTGGTCCCTGCCCTATCCAGAGCCAATCTCACTGTTTCAGGCATATTTACTGCCAGTGCCCCAATCTATCTCGTCTGGGGTCTTCCTTCCCTCTACCCTTCCAAGCCTGATGTCCTTCTCTAAGAACTAGTCCCTCCTGGCCATGTGCCCAAAGTATGTCAGAATCAAAATCTTTGATTCCAAGGAAAAACTTGTTTTCACCCTCTTTGTTTTCTTGGCAATACATAGTATGTGTAACACTCTTCTACAACTGCACAACTCAAAGGCATTGATTCTTCGTCTGTCATCCTTATCCATTGTCCAGCTCTCTGATATGTAACTGCAAAGACCATGGCCTGGATCAGACGTCATTGCTCTTTCACACTCTAAAGAGGTCCCTGATAGCAGATTTTCCAAATGCAAATCATCTTCTGATTTCCTGACCATTGGTGGCACGAGTGTTGACTGTGAAACTGAGCAAGCTGAAATTGTTTACAACCTCAATCTTTCCTCCATCTATTATGGTGAAACTTTGTACATTCCAATTTTTAATTATTAGTGAGTGTTTGTAGCTGTTTCTCTCATCCGATTGAGGATCTTCCAATCTGAAAACTCCACCTCCAGTGCTATATCTAACTGTGTATTGTTCCTAGAGTTTTTGAAGTCCTGTTATTTCAGAAGAGGATGGTCAATCCTCCTTCCTAATAACTTACATTTTAAGTCTTTTTAGTAAATTTAACAATAATACATCAGGTCATCCAGAAACAAGAACAATGTTCGACAAGAAAGAAAGCAAACAACAATGCTGGTGATAGTATCACAAGATTGGAATTCTCATTCATTGCTGGTGGGTGTGTAAAGCATTGCTAATACTATTGAAATTTCTCTAGTGCTTTCTTAAAAGACCTTAAATGTCACTTATTTAGAGTAAAAATTTAACATTTGTGGAAATAAAACAATTCTAAAAATTAAAGGAAGAATCATAATGAAAAGAAAAATATTTTTAACTGAATGATCATTAAATATATTTCAAAATCAGCCTTACACAGTGATTATTAGGTGTGCATTAGATAGAAAGAAAAGACATTATTTAAGTATCTATTTCACAAAAGTAGAAATAAAAATAAAGCAACATGAAGATACCTAAATTATTGAAAGAAAAAGCCAAAGAGGGCAGAAACTGTACAAATGTTCAGCAGAACCTACCAAGAAAGTAAAGAGTTGATTCGAGGAAAGAATATTAACATTGAGAGAGAAGACATAAATAAAAAGTGGGAAAAGAAAGTTAAAGAGAGATAACTAGTTACTTATATCAAGATATTAATAAAATAAAGATTACTACAAACATTAAGCAGTTTGAATTGTTAGATGAAATTAATAAATTCACATGAAAAAGTCAAATTATAAAATTGACACAAAAGTATGCAGAAATAAAAATTTGAGTATTTCTGTATGTTTTAAAGAAAACAGAGCTGCAAATGAAGTCTTCTGACCAAAATAAAATTTAAAAACCTTAAACATAGATGACATTAAATAGAAGTTTTCCAAAATACTTTGGAAGAATCAACTTGAAAACGTTTCCATTCAAAGGGAAAAGGACAAGTTATCAATTCTTTATTGAAAACAGCATAGCCCTAGTTTTAAAATTATGCAAAAGAAATTTTTAATAACAACTGGTGTGTATGAGTACATTATAGGTCAATTTAGAGAAAACACTTCACTATAAGTAAATTTATCAAGACTATGACATAATCGAAAGAGCAATCGTGCCTCTCTGGAGACTAAGGTGCGCCTGATACAGGCCATGGTTTTTGCAATCACGTGTTATGCATCAGAGAGTTGGACAGTGACTAGGGAGGATAGAAGGAGAATTGCTGCCTTTGAGCTGTGGTGCTGGAGAAGAGTATTGAATGTAGCATGGACTGCCAAGAAAACAGATTCATCCTAGAGAGGGTTAAACCAAGCTACTCCTTAGAGGCAAGGATTCTTGGGCTTCGTCTGACATACTTGGACATGTTGTAAGGAGAGACAGGTCCTTGGAGAGGGACATCATGCTTGGTAGGGCAGAGGGACAGCACAGGAGGGGAAGACCCTCTATGAGGTGGGTTGATTCAGTGACTGGGGTAATTGGGATGGGTGTGTCAGAGTCAGTGCGATTGGCACAGGATAGAGCAGGGTTTAGGGCTGTTGTACATAGGGTCACTCTGAGTCGCAAATGACTCGACGGCACATAACAACAACAGGGACATAATCAAGAGATAAGTGACCATTTCATATAAGCACAAAGACCACCAGTACTCCCAGAGAATTGCCATGTTTTTAAATGATTATGTACACCAAAACCCCAAGTCTTCAAACTGATTTTGATTCATGGTAATCCTCAAGAAGGTTTCTGAGGCTGTAAATCTTCACAGGAGGTGACTTCATGAACTGCCAGCTATTAGGTTAGCAGATCAATAAATAACTCATGTCAATGAAACTCATTAATATCAAGTCAGCTCTGATTCAGCTGATCTTCTAGCAGGTCTGTAAATTGCACAGGAGGGATTGTCCATCTTTCTCCCACATAATCAACTGAGAGGTGGCCTTTGAGTTAGGGGTCACTTACTCTCTAACAGTGGCTTTTGAGTTTTTGTTATTGTCTGTTTGTGACAAAGCCCATCTCTTTTGACTAAGTGTTGTTGTGGGGCTTAGTACTGCAACTAACCCTATGTAAGATATGGATGCATACATAAACTAGTTTTTATTAAGTATATAATTGTCATTCTTGATGTTATATGGCATTGAGTTGCTTGTGAATCATAGAGGCCCTATGTATAACAATACTGAACCCTTCTCTTATTGTCTCTGACACATGCACCCTCATTATCTAAGTCACTGAATCAATCCATCTCATTGAGAGTCATCAGAGATCACAAGTAATATTAAAGCAGTTTTTAAAAATCCAAATAATTTGCCACAATATGAGATAATTAGGAAGTATTGTTTATAAAATTGAGAATAGGCTAGTCTATTTTATTTGATAGTTTACTTTTTTCCTAACCTTCATTAAACTGAAGAAGATAGATTTGCACCTTTATTACAAAGGGTATTCCTAGAGTGGAATCAATAAGAAAGGCTGAGTTGTCTTCAGAGCTACAAGTCATTGTTGTTGTTATGTGCCGTCGAGTCGCCTGCGACTCATAGCGACAAGTTATTAGATTCAGTATTAAGTAACAAATATAAAGATTCATTAGTCTTGAAGACTTCTTGTTGTCATTAAGTGCTTTAGAGTAAGAACCAACCCATAGCTGACCTTCTGGTGGTTATCAGAGGCAGTAAATCATAAAAGGGAGACTATTTCATCCTTCTCCAGAAGAGCAACTGGTGGATTAGAACCATGTGCCTCTGGGTTTACAGCTCAGCTTCTTACCACTCAGCCACTAGATCTCCCTAGACTTGAAGAGTAGTAGATCTTAAAGACTGAAAACATGCTGGATTTGTCTTATTTATATTCCACACAGCCTCCATTTGCTCTGACACTCTCTTTTGGTTATTTAGGGATTTCATGGGTGATGGTGTTTGCTCCTCCTTTCTCCTCTAACAAACTCCACTGACAATGGGCAATACTTCAATATTTTTTTCACTGATTTTATTATTCATCAAAATTTTCAGTGTCCTGATTTTGACAGATGCCACTGTTCACCTTAATATGTCATTATACTGACAAATTATCACAAATGAGCCAACTCAACTGAGATAATGGTGTCTATAAAAGGAACTAGAAAGGCAACAATTTCTCATTTAAAGGAATTGTTAAAAGAAAAGCCTCAAAAAACAATGTTTTTCATGATTTGTCAATCACACCTCGTGGTCAATTTTTTCCACCATCTTTATTACTAAGAGTCTCTAGGTACAAAAACCCCAAACCCCAAACCACATGAGTTCATGCATAGAGTGGTAACACAGTGTTTTGCTGCATGTACTTACAGGTCACCGTGGATGAGTCCATAGATCTGTGGCATGCTCTGATGATAGATTCCTCTCAGGATAACTATGAGGAGAATCACGACAAAAGCTGGAAGCCCCCAACTCAGAAGGAAAAACAGCAAATATCGTCTCTCTGTGTGTTCATCATTCATCACCAGGACGTACCAGAAATTCACAGACTAAGGAAGAAAATAGAATGTAAAGTGAGCAGGCTCTGATTTAATGGCACAGGACACAGAGAAGGTGAGAATCTATTTAATAACTATACTACTTCCAACACTCTCCCCTTAAGATAATTTACTCAATTGGCATTTCATAATTCTACAAAATCAAAGGTGCTTCAATAGTCTGGAAACATGGTGGACAGTTAGATTATGTATTTTTGTTCTCATTTTACTGAGTTTTCTTTGATTTCATTTTCATTACAAAATATTCAGTGGTTATTTTATTAATGTGTGTTTGAAGAAATATAAACTAGGAATTTCAGATAATATGGCAGACTAGAAAGACAGTAGTCCAGACTCTTGTTAATCAAGACACCACAAAACAAAGATAAAAGATATAGGTGATAATTCTGGAACATCAAGTGGGAGGAAGATATTCAGATATCCAACAGACACATGAAGAAATGCTCAAAATCACTGGCAAAAAGAGAGATGCAAATCAAAACCACAATGAGATACCATCTCACTCCAATAGCAGTGGCAAAGTTTAATAGGACAGCAAGTCATAAATATTGGAGAAGATGAGTCGAGATAGGAACTCTTTTACACTGTTGGTGGGATTATAAAATGGTACAACCACTATGGAAGGCAGTTTGGTGTTTCCCCAGAAAGCTGAATATAGAAATTTCGTATGATCCATCTATTCCACTGCTTGGAATATGAGAACCGAGAACTGAGAAAATGAGAACTGAGGCACAAACACAATGTTCATAGCAGCATTATTCACCATTTCAAGAACATGGAAACAGCAGGCCCTTCCCCGTGGGTGTGTCATAGTGTTCCATGCCAGAGCAAACTATAACCCCAGACCATTGCCCGGCCTCCTTACTGATAGGCTGCAGGCACTGATATGGTTTGCACAGTGGCGGGGGCAGGGGGGAGAATGAGACCAAAAAAGAACATAGAAACAGCCCAAATGTCCAATCACAATCAAATAGATTAGGAAATTATAGTATATTCACAAAATGGAATACTATGCAGCAACCAGGAACAATGATTTTGCAGATCACTACCTAACTTGGGAGAGACCTGAGAGCATTATGCTAAGTGAACTAAGTCAGTCTCATAAGGAAAATACTTTATAAAACTATTATTGTAGAATGTATATGAGGATCCAAGTGAGGGGCAGACTGGTAAGGATGGGTCGGGGTGTGGGTGTTAATCATAGGGACATACAATTTGATGGGTGGAGGGAGTGGTGAGTAAAGGAAATAGAAAAGATCCAGTGTGAAAAACAATGTACATGTACTTTGAAAGTAAACCAGTAAAAAATAAAAATTTTCTTTAAAAAAAGGATATAGATAATAATTCCGGAACATCTAGTTTAGAAGGAAAATATAAAGAAATAATTTAAAAAGTTACTAAAGGACAAAATGGATACAAACCTCAGATAAGGAGCCAGAATTGCAAACGGCATGGCCTGGCCATTTTGAGGAGCTGACTGGTCACCTCTGGAAGGAACATGGCACACCAGTTGCTAACTGGTAGCGGGAAAGGTACAATCTCCCTCCTTGTTTCTCTTATGTTCCCAGGGATTAATAAAGTGATTTTCTCTACCATCACCATCCACCAGGTAACTGGCTGTGTTCCCTTGGTCTCATCTCAGTTCTACTAGGGACCACTCCCATGATATTTTGTATCTAGGTGGCAGCCTGCCCATGGCTCTACATTCAGAGACTCCTTGAAGTTGGAAGAGAGTGCCATTCATGACCTGTAGTAGGCCCCTGGATTAGTGTGGCACCACCTCTGACTGCAGTCCTTGCCTCTCACTGGACACCCTTGTGGACACCTTGCCCAGCACATGCCACAGTCACATTTGGAACAGGGCATCCTCTGTGAAGGGCATCATCCCAGGGTGACAGCCAACTCTAGGTAGGTATTCTGCCTGTACTCATATCCGTAGACTTGTAAACAGATCATCTCTTTTGAGGTCAACTACTACAGACACCTGTGAGGTCTACAGAACCTTTTACCTTGCTAGGTGCTCCACCCCTCAGCACTCCCTAGACCTAACAAGGTGCGGTCCATGGTCCAGTTCACATTTGGGGTTTTAAACAGGATCTCTGGTATTACTGAACACTCCAACTCCAACCTTGTCCTTGACTTGTAGACATCCTCCCAGACCAGACACCACAACTACAGCAGTAACAAAGGAATCAATCAGGTTGCCAACCTCCCTCCCTCCAAGGTGGTTTCTTTTTTCTCTCTCATTTTTTACTTCCCATTGCTTTACAAATTTTTTTGTTTTTTTACTTATTATTTCCTTCTGTTGGTTTATTGTTGTTATTTTCATTTTGCTACATTCTCTTCTCTCAAGCTATTCTCCTTTGCCAGGTCAAGTTCTTTCTTTCTCTTTATTTATTTTTTAGTCTTTTGGGCCTGTTTTTATTCTCCTTCCTTTTGTACTTCACAGGTTTGTGGTTTGTTTGGTTTTTTAAAAAAATTTTATTTTACAGAAAAAAATTCTTTTACTTTCTAATCTTACTTTATTTTTGAGACATTTCTTCTTTTGTTTTGTTGTCCTTTGTCTTATCTGAAAACAGATGGCTATAGTGACTGACAAGACACACACTTCCTACAACTTCACCCACTGGGCAGGAGTAAAGACTAGTTCTTTCTCCTTCTGATTGAGAATAGACTGTAACCAACTCTCAGCAGTTCAATATAAACAGAGAACTGCACACAAGTTTCTATCCTGTATCAAACTCACAAGAAGATAGAATGTTGAGAATGACTAAATTAACAATGTAAGACACTTGCATAGCTCAAAAATATATATGTTTTTGTTGCTGTGGACTGTGGAGTAGGAGCTGACCCTTAGCTGATCTTCCAGTGGGTTTTCAGAGGCAGTTAATCAAACAGGAGGAGATTTCTCCTCATCATTCTCCTGTGAAGTTATAAATTATATATAATTTGTATTATACATAAATAATACAAAGACAACAACATTATGATATCTCAGAGGCAACAGGTGACTATAAAATAATAAAAAAAGACAGAACAAAAGACGTAATCAATAGAAAAACTGGAAAATGTTGCAAAGGAAAAATGTTATTGAAACTTCCGGGTAAGGAATCTAAAAGAATGACAGTTCAGTACTTTCATGTGATTAATAAAAAGAACAAAACAAAACAGAAAACATATAAAGATTCAAGACAATAAGACCCAATTAGTAAAATCAATAGAAAACTAGAAGTCATACAATTAACAGGAACATAAAAAATTAGAACATTAGGACTAAAAGACACATTAAGTGATAAAAGAGCAGAATTGAAGAAATGAAACTCATGATTAGTTAGGTGGGAGACAGACCCCTCAATATTAGTCTGTTAAATGAACAATCAGAAAAAAGCAAGCAGGAAAATGAAGCAAGCATACAAATCATATGGGACAACATCAAGAGGAATAACTTACTTGTGGATGGATTTCAGGACAAGAAAAAAACAAACAAAGCACACAAGAAACCATTGAATATATGATGGAAGAAAACTTCCCAAATGTTATAAAAAAGGAGAAAATATGCACTGAGGAAGCAGAATGAATCGTAAACAGGACACAATCCCTCAAAGAAAAACACCACGAAACATTATTGATCAAATTTTCCAAAATTAAAGACAAATACTGACAGATTATCAGAAAAATAAAAGTTACCTATAATGAAAAGCCTGTCACTCACAATGACAGGATCATATCCATACGCTTACAAGAAAGTCCAGTAAATACCACTATCATTCAGATATATGCACCAACAACCAGAGCCAAAGAAGAAGAAACAGATGATTTCTACCAACTTTTACAGTTGGAGATAGATCGAACATGCAATCAAGATGCATTGATATTAATGGGTGACTGGAATGCAAAAGTTGGGAATAGTGAAGAGGA